TCACAAACGAATAAAAATATTTCTTTACAAAATTTTAGTAAATTTTTTTTTTTTTTTAAGTCAGTCACACACACACACACACACACACACACATTTAATTTCATGGAATTTTGAGAAAATTAAATTTTGATTGCAAAATTTTTTTTATTAGTTAAAAGCAGGACTACTTGGAGAATGTAAATCACTAGTTTTTTATTTTCTAACAGCTACTCATTCCCCAAAAATGTGCTCCCAATCATAAAATAAAAAATGCAATAAATTTTACATTATTTAATTAGAAAAGCTTTTAATTGCTTATTGTTAAGGACACTAATCTCTTAAGAAAAAAAATTTTCAAAATGAATAATGAATTTTTACAAGAATTGTTTTTTTTTTTTTTTTTTTTTTTTAATTTTAATTATAATAATTTATATAAATCTTTTAAAATTCTGCATTACTTTGATTTCATTTGGTGATATTAAGTGGAAACTATATTTACTAATCAAAAATTGAAAAGCTTAATACAAATCATCATGCACCAAGAATTTTAAAATAATTTTTAACTTTTTTTCTATGTGTATAAACATTCCCATTTTGAAAGTATGGATGACCATACCCAACATCATCAGACAAAAAGAGTGATGACTATATTAAAATTTAAAGTGAACATTCCTAAAATTAGATTATGAGGAATTTTTTCCAACGTTTTTAAGCTTACTTAAAAATTATATAAAACAGGCACTCATGTCATGTTCTTAAAATATGTTTTAACAGATAAAGTCTCTGTAGAACAACAATCATCTTGTAAACATGACTACTGTCACTTAAAAAGACACAGCTACTGCATTTTTGTGTTATTTTAAACTTGAAGTAAATAATATTTGTTTCAAATCAGATCAATTATACTTTAAATCAGCTAATATTCCCAAAAAAAGTTTCAGAAAAATATATTTTATTTTTTGAAAATTTCTAAATACAGAGAATTACATTGCAATGAAAGACGACTAAGAAAGGGCACTAATCTGTTATTTTAGCAAAAAAAATAGATTACAATCAATATGGTTTCTTTTTGAATTACACCAGAGTAATTTGCTTACTGGAAATAGTAAATCTAATCATTTAGCCTTCAATTAAAGCTAAAATGAAAATTTTAAGAAAGCTTTTTCATTTTTAAAAATGCACTTTAAACTTTAGGTATCGTGAATTCGTGGAGGTCCATGCAATAAACTGTTTATGATAGAATATCCTAGCAATAAACTGTTGCTTCCTTTCCTTGCAGATAATCTTTTTAGCATGATCATAAAACTGTTAAGATTTATAAAGGAAGAGCACACTAAAAAGATAATTACATTTTACAAACTGAATGAATTTGTAAGAATTTTGTCAAACCTAAAGATACATAAAGATGCTGCAAAGATCAAGTATGGATTTCTGGCAGATAGGCCTATGCCAAATTTGTCCAAAAAAGAAAATGCGTGAACAAAAGATCTTTTTGCATGCAGAATTGCAACAAAGACAGTGTTCATTACCATCATTATGAAACTTCTTGCAAATTCTTACCTTAGATACCCTCTTGTAAGGTCACTTGCATGGCTGAACGCTGGATCCATTTGTAAAAATAAATCTGCCACAGAAGACAGTTTAAAAAGATGTCTTTCCCACATGATAGACAGAAAACAAGTTAGCAAGTCTGTGATGACATCATCAGTCAGCACAAAGAGTCTGAGGAGGAGGTTGCTGGAAATATTGCTTTCAAGAATTTCAGCAAGCATGAAGACTGTGTAGACACTTTGTTCTACTCTTCTTTGTCAAGGAACAAAGCATATCAAAAACTGTAGAATTGCTGGTACTCTCTCATGGATAGACCTCTCAGTGGAGAGGTTTCTCAGTCAATAAGGAAATTTCCATGGACAATATGAAACAGCAGACTCTGGTCACACAGCACATTATCATGAACTATTTGGCCACAGTTAGAGGTGCTGGGAATGTTCCCATGGCTAAGGCTCTTCTCAGCAGTGCTTCCAACAGCATACAACCAATACTTTGAGGCTGAGAAGAAAAAATGTCAGGAAGAAGCAGCTGGACAAAAATAGAAATCCATGCTTATGGAAATTGAAGAACTGAAGACCAAAAAACACAAGCTTGAAAGTTGCAGACAAGATTGCTCAAGTCAGCTGATAGCTATGTGGAAAACTTCACACTTATCCAATGCCATGTAAAGCTCTGCAAAGGATAAGTCCATAGAAATACCAAAACTGAAAGAGGAACTGAATGCTAAACTAGATGAACTGAAAAAATTTTAACATCAATGTACTCTGTGCAATGAAAGCCATGAGTAATAAGGGTAGCTAAACTGTGTAGTCTTTTTGTGAAAATTTCTATTTGTAGTTCAGTTCATTAACACTTTCACTGCTACTCATTTGCCCAGTGCTGCCCCCATCCGGCTAGCCATTTTTAAAGAAAATGCCAAATTTCAACCTACATGTTTTATTACATATAAAACTGGCACCAGTGTGTTTTACAGCCTTCCATTTTCATGGATATACCTGGGAATGACTTACCAGATCAGTAATGGGTATACACATGATATCTTTTGAAGCATTGTCCTTTGTGATTTTACGATAGATGGTGCAACAGGACACTCATACCAGCGGTATGCAAAAAACATAGATTTCCGTACTTAGCCAGCTGGAGCAAGATAAGAAAAATGATAGATCTCTGTAGTTAGCAGCGGAAGTGTTAAAACTATTAAACTTAACTTCACAGGAAATGTGCAGCAATCAAGAATTTTTGTGACATTCACAAACAATGAGTAGTCTAGATAGCTGAAATATGTAGCAGTAAGAAGTAAAATGTGTAATTCAAAATTTTCAAGTGTAGTAGAACTCCAAACTGTGTAGAATGCTACACAAAATGTTTAACATAACCAGGTCTGCATTCATTTGTGTTTTAGCTCTCAGTGCTTTGAGTTCTTCACTGGTTTCATCTGATCCATGTGACATGAATTATTTGAAACAGTTGTAGATTTTCTTTGAAGATCTTATATGTCAAACTATTAAAAGATAAATCACAAAGTTTGTGCTTTTGAAATTTATGACTATTCACTTTGTGCATGTGTTTGTGTACACACTCAGTGCACAATAGTTTCAGTCCTTGAAATATCTTAACATAGTCCTGCAATTTTTTTTACACAGATCTGTGGGAACGTTTTTTTATATATATATATATATATATATATATATATATATATATATATATTAAACAAATGTTCTGATGTATCTGTTTAGTAGATCTTACTCATAGTAAAATTATAGAAAATATCTACTTAATCTATATAATTCACCATTCTTCCTTGTTAATTCATTTCCAGCTTAAAAATTGATATATTCAGTTTGAACAAGCATAGTAAGTTTTAACTGGAATTTGATATCACTCTGTTAGAACACAAAAACATTCCAGTTAAAACTTAGTGTAAAATTTGCCCAGTGAAGATTAATTTCATGTTTCATGTAATATTGTTTTGTTTCTTTCAAAAAGGAATTCATGATCTGTCACAAAAGATTTTTCATAATTAATAACTGGCTTTGTAAAATCCATATAAAATAGTTAATTTTTACAGATATATTTAGAATATATCAATGATTATAAATTCAGATTTTTCACCAACAAATTAGCAAAACATGAACTCTTTTTCAACAATAAGAAGTCTTTTATTTAGCACAGTACTTTTAACCTCTTAGTAAATTTCACTTTATCACTTTTAATTTAAAATGAAAATCTGTGAGGGAATATTTAAAAATTCTCAGCCTAAACAAAACCCTCTGTTCCCCCACTCCCACCTCCCTAAATTTGATTGCTTAGTCATTTTGTCAGATTTTTGTAAATGGACCAAGCTTTTTAGCACCCCTTCATAATATATACATGAAAATATCATTAGTCTGCTAAGAACAAGAAAGATTTTGGGATGTATTTTAGCATTTAGTAATGTAAATAAATAAAGAGCATTCCTACTATGACATCAGAGTTAATGGACATAGATTTGTGCTCCAAGTTATGATTTTGTCCTGGGTATGATGATAAACTACATCTGGCAGCAAGGCCTCTGATTGGGAAGTTTTGAGGAGCATAGAACCACCTCTTAATTGCTGTTGTTCCCAGATCCACCCTGACCTGAGGTGGTAGCACCTGTTAGGGTCCCAGCTATGGGCACATAGTGAAACCCCCAAACAAAATCAAAACACTGGTAAAGCATAAAAATAACATTTTTATTAAAAAAAAAAAATTACCAGCAATGCATTTTTATAGCAAAATGACCAACAATACATTTTTTTTTATAACAAAATGACCAACAATACATTTTTTTTTTTTATAACAAAATGACCAACAATACATTTTTTTTTTTATAACAAAATGACCAACAATACATTTTTTTTTATAGCAAAATGACCAACAATACATTTTTTATAGCAAAATGACCAACAAGTAGAATTACCAGCAATACATTATATAATAAAATTGAAGACATTGCATACATTGTCAAAAAAGTAACCATTTGCAATGATTAATCTCATTTCTTGTATGGAGAAACAAGTTTTCACCCTTCATTTGATTTTGTCAGATTATTTGGTAAAAATAATGCAGCTAAGTAATTATAATTTAATCCTGAAATAATGTCACTCTCTTGAATTAATTATAAAGTTTGAATTTTCATATTTAGATTTCAACATTAAATAACCCATGGAGGTGTTGATATGTCGCTAAACAAAAACAACTAAACCAAGATATAATTTGTTTATAAATGAATAAATTATCGACAACAGGTTCTGTTTTATGTTTTATTCAGCCTTTGTGTAGCTAACTGAGTATTTAAAATATTATTTTCAAACAATATTTTTCCTTTGCTGTTTTTAACCACGTAGTTATTTTGTGACACGAAGTCACATGACATTTATAATTATTAGACTATTGTAAACATTTTAATAATTATGATCAGTAAATTTTCATTTCTTCTTTTATTTCAGTTACTATTTCTTCCTTTCAGTAAGAAGTTGTTTGGTATTTATTCAATTGTTGACTCACTAAAAGAAAGCATCAGAAATTTCATTGCACCGGTTGCTCTGTTTCCAAAGTAAGTAACATTGAATTATATGTTGTTAATAACAGAGCTTTGGTATAGATATTTATTCAACTTTGCTTCATCTGACAGAAGGTCACTATAGTAGGTATCAAAACACACTACAGTAGTAAGGGTCAAAGAGAGCATTGGTATATAGCCTAAAGTGTAACTACCTTTTAATCAGTCAGTTAAGTTCCATATGTGATACACACTTCAATGGGCAATCATGTCTCTTTCTATTCATTATTGACTAAGCAGAAGATTTTTCCACAGTAGGTTGCCATTTCTTTCTGTGGTAGACTGCTTGTCAACCAAGTCTATAGTACCCAGTCTGTCCTGCTATTCAACCCATAGCTGGGAGGAGAAGAGAGGAATTCTTACCTTTCCTAAGAGTATTTGTGCTTAAGTAAATATAGCAAACCCAATTAGTTTGTTACATTCACTATTTATACTAACACTTAAGAGTCTACTTATCAGTCTACTTAGACTCTCTGAAACTGTAAATCCAAAATATGAATGTTAATTTATAACCAGGAAAATATATGGTTTGTATTAAATATTGATTTCTTCAAAGCATATTCTTCAGGGTTACTGTAAGCTATTGTACTATAAAATCATTCAATAGACAGCATAAATTTAACAAACACGCACATATATATAATTTGTTAGCAGTTTAGGCATTTGAAAACAAAGAAAATAAACAATCTTCTAACATGGCTCCAAATCTTTGTGAAACAACTTTGCACAAATATATTTTAGTTTGTCTTTTTTACAATACAACCGAATCAATTACATTAGTATAATAGAAGAAACAGAATGTGTCTACATAAGGAAAATGTAACGTACTTAAGTTGTTTTATGAATGTGTATAATTTTCTAGTAGCAGCATACCAGCAGTCAGTGAATGATAGCTGCATTAATACTACTGCTAAAATTGGTGTTGACAGTAACGTGGTTTGTATGTTCTGAATGTACTTAATTTAACACCACTAAGCTTTTATAAGTATACTCAGATAAAATGTACAAAAGGTACATATAAAATTATACAAAAATTTTTGTGAATTCAGCTTGTCCACAACAACGATCAACCAACCCTGGTCAAAAGTTTACAGAAAAACTGAATAACTAACTTTTGCGAATTTAACAGATTTACATGCACACACATATGTATGTGTGTGTATTAAAAATTGATTTTTTCTTCTGATCTCTAGTCATTAGATCTGATATGGTAATTTAATTTATTGTCCCTCTTAACATTTAAAAATCTCAACGCATTTACCTTAGGGACAGTTTTGTCTTGCATTCTAATTTGAAAAAGCCAAACTTAACATGTCGTTAGCGAGAGGTATTGTTGAAAAGCTTTTCCACTTTACCCTATTATCTCCATACCTACACATGCATATAATAACAACCAAGAATCCATTAAGAGACACTGATCTATAAATATTTCTCTGAGTTTCACACCAACCACAATCATCAATTAAAAATTGTAATTGTCTGATGATCGCAGTTAGTGTAAAACTCGTGAGTTACATTTCTAGCTCAGTATCTCTAGACAGATTCTTATTATTACAGCTCTGTCTTGGTTTGTTTTTCCTTTTTTTGATTTCTTTATACATTGGGCTCTGTTGATTTTTCTTAAGGTTCGTATTTGTTTTTCTTCTTATTTTTCAGGGCTTGTATTGGTAGGTTTTCTTTTAGGTACCTTCACTTCTTATTTAGTTTATTCTGTTTTATATATATATATATGGCTTGACGATTGCATTTAGCATGAAACAGACTGTCGCCTCTGACTGTTGACTTCAATGACCACTTTTATATTTACATATACTCTATCCCTCTATATTGAGCACTTTAATCCATAAATATACCATACCTTAAAACTATATATATATATATATATAATCGAGTATTGAGTTTCTCTGTAAATTAACTCTTATACATATCAGGTAACATATATCCTAATATCTACCATAATTACCAGCAATTATTAGCCAGCTCTTTAAATTTCAAGATGTTATTTACAGATTTATATTTATATTTTCAACCTCTTTAACCTCAGGTAGCACTACTTTCACCAGACAGTTACGTTCAGAGGGTCTAAGTAGACTGATATAGCAATTTACTAAGCATAGCTTAGATGTAGCACAAGGCCAAAAGTATGGAGAACCCAATGAGGATCACACTCACTACTTGGTTGTAATTGATCTAGTGAGACAAACTTGCTAACTATTACACCACATCAAAGTACCCATAAATAGACCGATGGCTGAGACATTTATTTTAAAGTTGATTATCCCAACTTTAAAAAAACCAAGCATAAGTATTGTCATCATTATGTACATGTTTTTAAACAGAACATAGTAATTATTTACACTATTTACATTGTTTGGACTATTGTCTTCATCTTTGTTGCCATATCCACAATGTTTTGGCTGTTGTGTGCTCCAGCCTTCTTCAGGTGACTGGAATTTTGAACTGAACCCTTTATTTCATCCAATGGAGTACATTGTTTTCGTTCCATGCCACTGTTATTATTGCTTTTCTCTAGCACTCTGTATTACTGGTTCCCATATTGTATTCATTTCTATGCTGGGCCAGCTTAAGAGATTTTTGTGGCCTAGAATATGTGCTGATTCCTTAAGTTTTCATATTTTCCAGTGATGTTCTCTGTCTCAACTTCATCCTACAGGGGGTGGTGATCTCTCTTTTCCATCCATATTTGGTCAGCTATGCCTGATTTTTCTATGTCTCCTCGTGTTACAGCTTTACAATGTTCTTGCTGTTTTATCTTAAGCAGGTGGCCTGTTTCTCCTTTATATTTCTTACTGCAACTCTACAGGATGGTGTACACACAGCCCTTAGTCATGTTCTCTTCTATGGTGGAGTCTTACTCGGAAGAGGTGTCTACAAAGTGTTGAACCACTTTTAAAGGTCATCCTGATGTTATATGGACCACAGATCTTTTGTATTTTTTCTGATAAGCCCTTCACATAAGGTAGACAGACTGAAGCTGTTTACTGAGTGTTGTTATCCTCTTGTACTCTTCTATCCCACTTAGTCGGAGCTGCTGCCATGTAACCAGGGTAGTTGTTACATTGTAGGGTACTGTTTATACTGACCATTTCTTGTTCATGTGTTTCATGGTCGCCACTTATAAATTTTGCTTGATGTTGTAAGCAGTGGATAATTCCTTTCTTTACACTGTATGAGTGATGGATGTCTTGAACTCATGCTCTGTTCAAGATATTAGTACATCCAGGAATGCTAGTTTATTGTTGTTTCCTCTCTCCATTGTGAACTGTATCAATGATCTTATTAGTTCCCATGGTTCATTAGTAGCTGGACTGCTTCTTGGTGTGTCCAGAGTATGAAGGTGTCATTTACGTATCTCAGCCATATGGTTGGCTTTAGTAATATGGATTCCAATGTCATTTCTTCAAAGTATTCCATGTATATGTTTGTCATTGCTGGTGATAATGGCAAGCCCATTGCTTAACCTTCATCCTGTCGATATATGTCAGATCTCATTCCAAAATGTGTTGTTTGTGTACAGTAAGTCAGTATCTCTATCAGTATTGATATACTGGTCCATTCTCCTAGGGATGAGTCAAGACCAGTCTGTCCCTGACTACCGATAGTGTTTCCTCTGTGGGTACCTTGGTGAACAAACTCACCACATCTAAGCTCACTATCTGGTTGGATTGGATGGGAGCATCTTTAATTATTTCCTTGAAGTGGGTGGAGTTTTGGATATATGAAGTTGACTTACCTATTAATAGGTCAATTATATCTACAAGGAAGCAACTCAGAGGGTGGAACACAGAGCCTTGGCAGCTAACAATTGGCCTGAGTGGAATACCGTCTTTGTGAATTTTAGGAAAACTGTATATGTGAGGTAGCTAGCTGTAACATTGTGACAACTGCCTGTATGTCTTAGGTGTGGAGTGGTCCTTGTTCTTGATTAGGATCTGCAACAGTTTTCATTCCATTTTCAATGTTGGATCTTTTACTTTAGTGTAGCTACCATTTCTAATGAGGTCTTCCAGTTATATAATCTGTTTTGTCCCTCACTACAGTCGCATTGCCTTTGTCAGCTGGTAGTATGATGATGATGTCATCCCTCTGTAGGATTTTGATTGCCAGTTTCTCCAGTTTGTGATGTTTGATTTGGGTGGCTTGGCTTTCTCCAGTATCCATCTCACTTTCCATCTTAGCTCATTCACCCGAACTCGAGGGATGTTCAAAGCTATTTCCTTGATTGACACTATAATGTCCAAGTATGGTATCCACCTGATGGTTGGGGCAAAGTTGAGACCCTTGTTAAGTACTGACTCCTCAGAGGCACTCAGCTGGTGTTGACTGATGTTGATTACTGCCTTCACTGGAGGGTGATGAACCTTGTGCGTCACCTTCTGATCTTTCAATCTGTTTAATTTTTGTACTTGGTGGGCCTTGACTGGATCAAGGATTTATCAAGGTCATTCCGTGTTCTCTTTCAGTCTTCTTCATTGGTAATTCTGTTGAAGAAGGTCTCCAGCCTCTGGAAGATATCAGATTGCAGTTTTTTGTTTTATCCCACAGTTCTACTGGATTCTTTCTCAACAAGGGCGTGTTCTGCTTTTTCTAAGACTAGACAGGCTCTCCTTGAATTGACAGGAAGTCTTGTTGCTAAGACTGAATGAATGAGTTGTAAGTCTTTGCATCCATGTAGGAATGTTAGATGGTTTGATATTCATGCCAGGTTCTGGTAGGATTTTTCTAATTGTCTCCATATTTTTGTTATATCGGGTCCATACCAATCCTTCAGTATATATCTATATTTCTGAAAAGAGGCATGGTATGTGGAAATAGAACAATCTATCCCAGTGGATGAAATTCAGTTTCAAAATTCCAATCACCTGAAGAAGGCCAGAGCACACAATGGCTGAAACGTCATGGATATGGCAACAAAGATGAAGACAACAGCCCAAACAATGTAAATAGTGTAAATAATTACAATACCTCATTTCAGGAATATAGATGAATACAGAACATAGTAATTTGTATGTTTGCTTATGTTATGACTATTCCAACATTTCTATTTCCTTGTCACCTTATGAGCAGTAATCTCAGATGGTCTCTAAAGCTGAATATTATAAAACCTGTTTTAGGTTTTTGGGGAATTTGTCTTATTGCTTTACTTTGCTGTCCTGTTTATTTGATCAAATTTCTCAAATTATTCCCTTGTTCTATTTACCTACCTACAAGACACCTTTTTCTTTATCTAAATATTGAATCATGTCTAATCTAATATTGCCGTTGTAGCTCTCTAATCTGACACTCTTTGGTTCAGCAGATTCCATGGTGTAGTGTTTTAAATCTGCCACTAGAATTCTTTGATTCAATTTCAAACTATGACTTGAATAGTTAATTCAACAGTTTATAAACAAACTCATTAAATTTGTAAAAAATCTTTTTCCAGTTTCGAACCACTCAACCATGTACCCATAAAGATATATGGGAAAATAATATATATACATTTTTATATATCAAAGACAATTTTAAGGAAAAACTATGACAAAGTAGAAAAAGGTTTTGTGCTGAAACATGTGTTCGGGGCTTCAATTAAAACCAATGACATCTACTTGCACACAAGATCAGACAAAAGGCTGTTCAGTTTGTCTCGGATGAAACTGAGGTCCAAAGTCTGTGAGGTGCTCATTAGAAACATGCTGTCTACAAATGAATCAGCACTGGCAGTACACCCAGAAGAGTAACTGCAGTTTCTAATGGACAATTTTTCAAAAACCTGCCAAAGTACAGTCTGACCATCAGTCTGAAGAAGACCAACATGATAGGCCAAGGTGTTGAGTAACCTCTAACCATCAAAATCAACAACTGCAACATGGAAGTGGTTCATGAATTCACATACCCCAGCTCCACCATTTCGGACAGCATCTCGTTAGACACTGAGGTCAACAGACATATTGGACTGATTGCCACCATGTTCACCAGGTTGGCCTCATGAGCCTGGGAGAACAGAAAACTCACTATGAACACTAAAATCACAGTCTATAGGGCATGCAGCATCAGTGTGCTGTTCTACAGTAATGAGACTTGGAGACTCTATTTCAGACAAGGGCAACGCCTCAGCACTTTTCTTCTTCACTGCATGACATCTAGGCATCAATTTGTTTGACTAGGTCACTAATGCCATAGTTCTCAATCATGCCCAGTTACCCTCTCCAACAGCGCTCTCTAATGTACACAGTATGCCAAATGGGAGGATTTTGGTTAAAAATCTTCTTTTTTTTTTTTTTTCTTTTTTTTTTTGTTATGTCAGCAGGTGGGCCAAAGATTAGTATGGGAAATTTAGCATCTTTTGCGGTAAAAGAACACATTTTGAAAATTCTTACAAAAATCAAATAATTGTCAGATTTTAATTAAATTTTTAGGACTTATTCACAAATGAATGAAATTATTTTTTAGATATTTTTTTTTTTTTAGAAAATCTTGGTAAGGTTATAATTTTTTTTATATCTATTAACACCCATTTAATTTTATGAAATTCTGAGAAATTAAAATTCCAGGATCTTTGTATTTACGTTAGTTAAAAGCAGAACTCCTTAGAGAATTTAAACCATCAACTTGTTTTTGTTAAACAGAAACATCATTTATTGAAAATCTAACCTGAATCATAAAATAAAAATATACATTGAGTTCAGTTGTCAAAATAAATTTTGGAATTATATGAACTATTTTTTATACACTAAAAGATTACTAGATATCAACATAAATTTTCAACAATACTGATCTATAAATGCTCTTTTTACTTAATAAATATTCTTTCAAATACATTCAGTTAATGTCCAGTTTTGTTTCTTTTTTCTTCCAGATCTAACCTGTATAGCAACCCCCAAGCAAAAGAGTATGTGGATGCCTTTTTAAATAAAGCTGTTCGTCCCATCTGCACAATTTTTCAAATCACAGGACATAATAGAGCTCGACAGCGTGAGAAATGGACACACATCTTGGAGGAACTTGCAGCTCTACAAGAAGAGGTAAGAGGAATAAAATTATCTTTTTGGTTTACTTTGCAATGCACTAACCTATATACTCTCCAACCTTTCCTGTTACCTTAACCCAGTAATTCCCAAATTTTTTTCTGTGGACTACCTTCAGAATGAAAATTTGCTTAAGCCTCACCAAATTTTATGTGATAAAAAGTACATTTAAAAATAAAAAAAAACTGAGGTAGGGTTAAAGAGAGATAACCATGGATTCGAAGTCAGAATATTATCATTGATAACTCTCTCCTCCAATTTGTAGACACTAAATCTGCATCCTGGGTAAGACGATAAACTACGTCCAACAGCAAGGCCTCTGATCAAGAGGTTTTGAGGAGTGTGGAACCACCTTTTAATTGCTGGTGTTCCTAGGTCCAACCTGACCCAGGATGGCAGCACCTGTTAGGGTCCCAGCTATGGGTAAATAGTTAACCCCCAAATTGGGGTCAAAACACTATGAAAGTTTAAAAATAGGTTTTAATACCAGAAATACTTTGTAAAAAAGTTATTACTAGCAATAAGTTTTTGAAGAAAAAAATTATTACCAGAAATACATTTTTGGAAAATATATTACCAGCTATACTTTTTAGAAAAAAAAAAATTACAAGCAATACATTTTTGAAGAAAAAATATTACCAGTAATAAGAATTTTGAAGGAAAAAAAAATTACCAGCAATAAGAATTTTGTCAGCATTAAATAATCTATTGAGATTGATATGCTGTAAAAACAAAAGCACCTAAACAAAGAAATAGACACTAGTTACTATATTCTTAATATTTGATATAATGCAAAAATATCAGTGATAAAATCTGTCGATAATTATTTATAACTATTTATACTGGGACTCATGTATGTAATTACAAGTAATCCATAATAATATTTTAAATTTTGAAATTATATTTTATTTTTGGCATATGAATTTTTTTAAATTGATTCTAAATTTTTGATTGTCTTTTGATCATTCTGGTTCACCTGCTATCCTCTTCCACCACATCATTTGGGAACCACCACTTTAAACCCACCCACTAGAGTCCTTTTTAAAATTTGTTGATGTTTTTTGTTATTTATTTATATATACCATGTCCCTTTAGAGAATAAGCAATCATGACTATCCACAGATTTCTTGCAAATTTCCATGCATTCTTAAGAAAGATAGTGCATTGATTTCCTGTTGCCTTCTCTGCAATTGGGAATTTTTTTATTTCATTGTTTTTTTTATTGTTACTCAGAGGTAGAGAGCCCAGTATACCCTGATAGTTAACCCATAACTGTGGGGGTGTGGGTAATAGGCAGCTTCATGCATTTCCCTAGTGCATTTGTGAAAAAGTGAATGCAACAAACTGGCCTGGAATTTGAACTTGCTGATTCCACTTTCTACACTGATTATCAGTTACACTAACTGTACAAAGAAACCTAGCCATCAATTTTGTGATTTCAGTAACAAAGATAAAGGTTTTTATTCTTTTAAATGATGGTACCTCTTTATCAGAATTTCAATATCTAGTATATCTATCTTCTGGCTAAAAAGATCATTGCATTGCTTTGACATGATAAAAATTTGGGTTTTTTTGTTGACCCACCTTGGTTTTTGCCAGTTGCTTAATGTTGTTGGTACAATTTTTATTTCCTATATTTATTATACACTGATTCATTTGAACAGGTGTCCACATCTTGGTTGCTATAGTTACAAGCCTGTTGTATCTTGTAACCTTCTGGGAATTTTAATCAGAACCTTTTGTTCAACCGATAGAGATAGATTCCACTATTTGATTGATATGTTGTTAATTGGTAGTCATAAGTTTAATCCTTGTACAAAGCAGTAGAATGACTAGAAACACCCATACGATCACTGACGTTAAGCAACATTTGTAGTCAGTACCTAAATGGGTGACCACTTGGGAATACCAGGTGCTGTAAGTTTAGATGTGCATGTGGTATAATGAATAATAGCTTAGAATTGTTAATTGGAGAGCTGAGTTCCAATTCCCATTGTATTTGTTATATTCACTTACATGCAAATACCCTTGGGAAATGTATGAATCCACCTCTTCTCCCTCCAGCTATGGGCTAATTAGTAAGACTTGTATCACTAAAACCATTATCATCCCCCCTAATTCTTACAATCTAAAAATATTTTCTAACTTTAAATAAACTGAAAAGGGTTGATAATCTGTAAAAAAAAAAAAACAAATCCATCAATATGACTAGAAACTGCATCAAAGGATGGATTAACTAAGAGGAATTAACTAATGGAAGATTATCCTCAAGCATAAACAGCAAAATGTGAACAATCTATCACCATGGATGGGAAAAAGATTTGTTTGAATTTCATAGACAGTTACCAAATACAACAGATACCTTGAAGGAGGCTGGAGAATTGTGAAGCAATCAAAATATGATGATATCAATCAAGATGACATCAGTTCAAATAATCAAGATCAGTTATAATATTACTTCCACATCTGAGAAATTGACATAAATTATCTTCTAAGTTTATTTAGTTCTAGTCAAAGGCTGTTGCCAAGATGAGAGTTGATTTCAGTGATTAAACCTTTTTTAATCAGAAGTTTAAGACTACTTGGCCATTTGTTTTTTTTTATATTCACTAAGTTTAGTCCACAAGACCAAAATTGGGTAGGAATATTGTGTCGCACCAGTCTAAGTTATATGGATATGCCCATTTTGAAAAATTTTCTTCTTCTGTGTGCCATGTTCCTTCATCACGGTGGTGATCATGGCCATCCACAACTTCCCATAGTTTGTAGCTCTTCATAAATTTTGTCTTTATTGCTCCCAAATCCTGCCCTAACATCCATTCATTCAAGCTCACCAGGTAGGTTTTGCATGTTTTTTCTCTTGCCTTCAATCTGTCCTCTGTGTATCAAATTTTCCAAACCCTCTTTCCTCATTATGTGCCCTAGGAATTTTAACTCCTTCTTTCTGATGTGAATTACAAGTGTCATTTTTGTTTCCATTGTCTCTAGAACTTCCTCGTTGCTCACCAATTCAGTCCATGGTATTCTTAGCATCTTTCTGTAGAACAACATTTCAATTGCTTCAAGTGTTTTCTTCATTTTTGAGGGGATTGTCTGGCATTCACTGCCATATAGGAGACTTGATAGTACATAACAGTTCAGTACTCTTTATTTCTAACAAAATGTTTCTGTTTCTTAATACTTTGCTTAGCTTTTGGAAGAAAACTTTCATTATCTCAATGTGCTTTTAGATTTCAGTGTCTCACTTTCCGTCCTCTGTTAAAACACTTCCCAGATATTTAAATTGCTGTATTCATTTGATTTCAATATCACCAATTTGTAATTTGCATGTTGGGCTGTCCCTTTTGCTAACAACCATGCATTTAGTCTTCTTGCAATTGATGTTTATCGCTTTCTTCTTTGCTTTCCTTCACTACCTTCTGTAGGAGTTCTTTTAGTTTCTTTTCTGTGTCTGCTATTAACACTGTGTCATCTGCATATCTTATGGTGTTAAAATTTGAGCTGCCAATAATGAATCCTGGTAGGACTTCTAATTCTCATATAATTGCCTTACTGGTTGAATAAATCTGGTTAGAAGATACATCCTTGTCTTACACCCCTTTCTATTTTCATATATTTACTGCTCATTTTCTATCTATATGCAGGCAGTAAACCGCAGCAGGCGGTTTGCTGCCAGCATAGGTTCTGGATTATTCTAATAGTATTGGCCAGTGCTGATTCCATTTCAGATTTTAATATTTCTGGTCCTTTGATATTTTTGCATATTACCAGTTGTTCTCTTTCATTGTGGAAGTGTTCTCTGATCTATTCATTTCATTTCTGAAGTGTTTTTCCTTCTCTAATCTCAGTGTTCCATCTTTGGATTTTATGAATCCTGTTGATAAGCATGTCTTTCTTGTTAGTTCTCTTATTTTTTTTTTTTTAATGTATATCTGCTTTATTTGTAATACTCATTCTGTTTCTACCTTTAAATGGTTAAAGAATTCAGACTGCCTTGTAAATGTACCCATAAATAGGGGAAGTAGATTCATGCCTTTCTTAAGTGGATCTGAAGTGAATTCAATTTTCCGTAACAATAACTGCTATGAGAACAAATGCCAACACCTCCCACCCCCATCTAACATGTGTGTTTTTGCAAACAATCAATTTTGTATAATGGTCCAGGGGTCAATGCAGATTTTAAGTAGATTGTAAGATTTTTAATATAAATGAAACATCACATAGATTTTGGATTGTTTTAAATTATTCCATAACAAATGAATTATAATTATTTTTTTTTTTTTTTTTTTTTAAATAATACCAATCTTTCTGGAAATAAATTTATATCTAAAGTTTAACTGCATTCAGTCCCTACCTTTTTCAAGAACTACAAATATAATGGATTTACTCTGCAACCCTAATTTATACAAAATGCAATGAACATTTTCTGTCTCCTGGAACCTTGTTATTTTCTTCTCAGATTCTTTCACTCTCTGTAACCCATTGCATTTTAGTGGCTTTATCATCTTGCTTGGAGGGAAATGATTAAAAAAAATTACCTGGGCTTCTGCAAAAAATATCTTACCACCTAAGGCAACTTGCAATCAACAAGGAATATCTAGTCCTTTCTCTTTAAGTGCTCTTTTCATCACCAGGTTCCTTGTCCTTCAGTAACAATTTCTCTTTCAGCTTCATGGCACAAAAACTGAGAAGTAATAGAAGCAAGTATGTCTATTATACATTTGAGCCACACTGACATTTGTTAAAGTTATTTCAAAAATTGAAAAGAAATAGTTAAACACACTTGATTGAAGCAAGAACGATTAACTACTGGACATGGGAAAATTCTGTGATGCACTCAAGCAATAGAATACAAATCATATAGGTTGCATTACAGTAACAGAATTCAGCAAATATAAACAGTTGTTACAGTAATCAATAATTTTCTGTCATAATGGTACTAGGAGTTGTATTAAAACAAAATAAATAGAACTTGCAGTTGCTAACAGCCTTTACTT